TTGGAAGAACCGACAGCAATGTTAATGAAAGACATTGAGGAGCGTAGTTCACAGGTGGAAGATTTAGAGGAATCAAGGTTGAATGAACTTGAAAATGAGGAAATCCTTGTGTCTGAGAATTGTGGTGTCGATATCCTACCTCCGAATCCCAGTCCAATGACAACTAGTGAATATCCAGTTCCTGCTCCTAGGACTCGTTCACTTCCTTCAGTGGAGCAGAAAGTACCTCCACCAGTGCCGCGACGTTCTCAAAGATCAACTGCCGGTCAACATAATAATCCTTACAATTTGCCTAGGTCAGCTTGCAATGCAGTATCGTTTAGCCCTGACATTCTGTCTCAGGTTTTAGCAGGCATAGTGATGTACACATCTGAAAAACTGAAAGGTGCTGTAGATACTTAGTAAGAAGTCCCCGAGGACGTTGACTTGGGGCAGGGGAGAGTGTAGCCAAGTGAAAAATAGCTGGTAATGATGCCTCCCTGCCACTAGAGGCTTATTGGTGCGTTTATACAGAGTCGTTGTGAAAGGAGAAGAAGTGCCCTCCTGAGATTTTAGCTACGGTAATCTGTTGTCTTTTGAGCCTGCAAGATAGTTACTTTAACAGTTTTATTTAGAGGAAAAAGAGGAAGTCCTCGCTGCAGTTTTGAGAGCAGCTATTTCTCTTCATGTTTGACTGGTGATCGGTGGGATTTTGCATGCTTTCGGGTGCAGAAATATTCACGTGGTGAGACTGTGTAATCTCCAGCAACGAAGATTGAGCAGGGGAGAGCGAGTACACGCGAGTGCGCACGTGATCGGAGGCTTTGTGGATCATTCAGAGTGCAGTTCAACATTCAACAGAGGATACATAAGCCACTATCGTTGTTTATTTAGGATTATTTAGGTTTATTTAGATTTATTTAGTGCTATTAATCTTTATTAGTGACACAAGCAAAATCACTTTTGTTTTATTTACTTACCTGTGTGGACATTATTACTGTAAATTAAAAGGAGGAGATATTTAAGTAGTCATTTTAAAAGATTGTTTGGTCTGAGCTAACCTATTGTAAATATTGTAATTCTTTCATTATTGTCCACAGAACATTTTACATTTCTTGTTTTTGCCCACTGTTGGAAATCTGCAACTTTAATGCCAACATTTTTTCTATTTAAACGTGGTCACAAATAAAGAACCCTTTGTTTATAGATGACTGAGGATGCTTGATTTATTTAATTAGGAAGAGCAGTATCCCGGCCACATAATAAATAATACTGCTAATAATAATAACATTATACAAAAGCAAATTGAATGAACTGAAAAAGCCTCCCGAGATGAAGGATTCAAGGTAGTGGTTTTTAAATTCATGTAGGCTAGACAATAATATGTTTTGTAATATTTTAATTCTTTATATTTATATCCTATACATATCCTTATTATATTCCATATATATTCTTAATATTTTAATTCTTTTTCATAGGTAAAGATATTTGCATATTGCTCTACATCTTGTGTGTATTAAGCAGCGTGTAAGACAGGCGCACTCTGCGCCAGACTTTAGACCAGGTTTGTTTGTTTGTTTAGACCAGCTCCGAATTGCCTTGCTTGTACCTGTTTGTGCCTGTTGTTGATCATTTCCTGTCTGACTACGCATCTGAATAAAACCTGCTAAATGATCCTGACTCCATCATCACTCGTCCCCCTCCGTGGTTACATATATACAGTATATATCTATATATATTCTTTCATTTTTTTCTTTCATTATATTATGATATCATTTTACAATATATCATTTTTTTATAGTCAAATTGTACAAAATACAAAGTATTCATATATATTCATAATAAATATTCATAACAATTCATAAATGTTACATTGCACTCTTTATTAGGTACACCTGTCCAACTGCTCATTAACGCAAATTTCAAATCAGTCAATCACATGGCAGCAACTCAATGCATTTAGGCATGTAGACATGGTCAAGAAGATCTGCTGCAGGTCAAACCGAGCATTAGAATGGGAAAAAAAGGGGATTTAAGTGACTTTGAATGTGACATGGCTGATGGTGCCAGACAGGCTGCCACTCCAAAATTGGACAATAGAAGATTGCCTGGTCTGATTAGACTTGAGTTCTGCTGCAACACTGGTGGGGGGTCTGAATTTGGCATCAACAACATGAAAGCATAGATCCATCCTGCCTTTTATCAATGGATCAGCCTGCTGCTGGTGGTGTAATGGTGTGGGGGATATTTTCATGGCACATCTTGGGCCCATTAGTATCAATTGAGCATCGTGTCAATGCCACAGCCTACCACAGTTCATCCCTTTATGACCACATTGTACCCATCTTCTGATGGCTACTTCCAGCAGGATAACGCAGCATGTCATAAAGCACGAATTATCTCAGACTGGTTTCTTGAACATGACAATGAGTTCACTGTACTCAAATGGCCTCCACAGTCACCAGATTCAATTCAATAGAGCACCTTTGGTATGTGGGGGAACGGGAGATTCACATCATGGATGTGCAGCCGACAAATCTGCAGCAACTGTGTGATGCTATTATGTCAATATAGAGCAAAATCTCTGAGGAATATTTCCAGTACCTTGTTGAATCTATGCCACGAAGGATTAACGCAGTTCTGAGGGCAAAAGGAGGTCCAACCCGGTGCAAATAAGGTGTACCTAATAAAGTGGCCAGCAAGTGTATATGCATGCATAAAAATAATATCTAACCCTATCAAACAGATCTTTATTTCTCTTCAACACACACAGAATCTTCCCTAAACACCAGCATCAGCAGATGCCTCATCCTCCTCTACAGGTTTAAAACAGCTTCATTTGCTGCAGATCTCCAGTGTGTTTCCTCCGGTGTGGGTGTGTGTGTGTGTGTGTCAGCTTTCTGAAGGAAAGCCTCACACTGGAGCGTCAGAAGCCAAACCCCAGACTCGTGCTCCACAACATCTGCTTTCTGCATGAGTGCTGGAGAAAATGCTCCCACAACTCAATATATATCAACTCAATATATATATATATATATATATATATATATATATATATATATATATATATACACCACACACATATATATGTGTGTATGTGTGTGTGTGTGTGTGTGTGTGTGTGTGTGTGTGTGTGTGTGTGTGTGTATAGTGCTCAGTTGGTGTTTCTGTGTGGAGTTTATTCAAGAAAATGATTGAATGAATGAATGAATATGTATGTATATATATATATATATATATATATATATATATATATATATATATAAATATATATATATACGTTTCACGTTACGTTCTCTTCTCTCTCTCTCTCTCTCTTGTTGTGGATCCTGTCCGGTTTCGGGTGTGCAACCATTGGTCAAGTGAGCTGTCAATCACCATAGTCACTCAATCAGCGCGCCAAAAAGGAGCCTGTCTAATATGGATTGTCGGCCAGCCTGTTCACTTGTTTGCTTCGCTAGGTTTTGTTTGCAATTGCTGTGTTCTAGTTTTCTCTTTATTGAGAGATTGATTTATTACATAAACTTGTGCCGCTCAGTTTACTGTCTAGTGAGAATTTGAACGATCTTTCTGAGAATTGGATTATCTGAGATCTTGTTTTGCTAACGGCTAACAGTGTGTACTTTGCGAGAATCCTAGTAATTTGAGCAGCCTAGGATAATTATGTATTAGTTAGTTAATAAAGGCATTGCCACAGGTGTAATTATGTTTGAAAGTTATAAAGTTTAGTTAAGCTACGTGTTGAAGATTACACTTTTGTTTCTGCATTTTTCTTTGATCAGTCAGTTTAGTGGGTTGGAGTTTAGTTGGATCGTTTTGTTATATTTATTTATTTGTTTTGGCAACACTCCTGTTTTCTTTATTTAATTCGATTATTTAAACATTATATTGTACCTAACATTTCCTATTCATTGTTTGACATTATTTACTAAATACTAAATTTTTGGGTCACTTAACAAACGGTTGTGTCTTTTCCTCATTCATCCGGCATCTGTAGACTCACTGATTGTAACTTTTCATCCATTTAATTATTTAACAACTTAAACACGTAACAATATATACACACACACATTGTATGTATATATATATATATATATATATATATATATATATATATATATATATATATATATACATACAATTTTCTCATATACACACACACACACGCATGCACACACACGCACGCGCACACACACGCATGCACGCACACACATATTTAAAAAAAAAAATTTTTATCTTGGAAGGCGATTTTTTCCCAGCACTAATATATCTAACAAAGTAAGACCCTACTGTCCTAATGAAATAATTAAAAATCAAGGCATGATCATATTTTATTCTGGTAAAATAAGCATAATCTACAGGTCTTTGCCTTTTATATAAACCACTTCTAATACCAAATGATCAACTAGAAGTCAAGTTTTTATTTTCTGTTCCTACAACTTAGATGGGCAACAAGACTTGTCAGGTAGTGTATATGCATATATATATATATATGCATATATATATATATATATATATATATATATATATATATATATATATATATATATATATATATATATATATATATTAGGGGTGTCACGATTTCGATTTTTAATAGAAATCGATCAAAATTTATGCTCAATTTCTATTATCAAATCAAAAAATAGAATCGTCGATGCTGCCACGCCCCCATGTCACATCAGCTTGGCTTGCCAAGCGAGAAAAAACAGGCTTGTTGAAGTGCTTGTTAAACTGCAGATACAGGAGACCCGTCGAGAGAACTTAAATCCTCTCCTCTTTCAATGAAGTCGCCGGTGTGGAAGCATTTTGGATTTCCAGTGAGTTATGTTGACAACGTTCGTGTTGTCGACAAAAAAAAACAAAACACAGTTTTGCAAGCGCTGCTATGTACGTATTACGTACGGTTCGTCCGATAGACAACACCGGCATCGCGATCCTCCGCCCGCCCCCGTTGCAAATCCGCTCGCGAAAAGTACACACTCAGGCCCTGATTACACCGTCTTTGTTTTTAAATGGCATTTTAGAACGACAACGATTTGGGGTCTACAGTGGTGATTTCTGTAGTGTCTGCAGTGGTGGTTTATGTGGTGGACACAACACAAGAAACATTATAGGTGAAATATGTGAGATTTCTCTCAAATCCCCCCAGAAGTTTAAACATTAGTCTTTCTGGGCATTATCAAAACATTAACAGCAGTCTAGGGAGTGGCTACTGTGGAAGGCAGACTGAGCCAGAGGGTGTTTGGAAGTTTTTACATTAGAAGGCCAAAGTATGGAAATACAAATGATAGGGCTGTGCAATTAATCGAAAATCCGATTTCGATTTTGGCCTCTAACGATTATGAAAAATTTATTAATCGAGATAAACGATTATTTCATTATTTACCGCCCCCTTTCCAGTTGTAAACATTTGTTGCTCTTAAAAGCGCGGACTAAACCGCATGCTCCTGTGTGTGTGAGTGTGTGTGTGTACGGTCAGAAGCATGCGGTAAGCATTCGGTGTCATTCACACACTGTGATGAGCAGAGCATCTAAAGTCATCTTAATGTGAGCGCTTTAATGGTCAAATAGGTGTCAAAACGCTGTGTTTAGTGATTATTCATATTAACCCTCATTTATGTAATAAACAAACTAGTTGAGGATCAAAAGAAACTTGAAAGCGAAACCATTAAAGTGACAGCCCACTATTCCTGCTGCCGCCTGTTTCGATCATTATTAATTAAATAAGAAAAGGAGAAAATCCCTCTGTGCTCTTGACTGAAGGACTTTTGTAGCTAAAGTGTTTTTCTTGCCGTGAAGATGCTTAAAGCACTGTTTGTTTCATACTTTTATTCTATTGTATTTATTTCTCTTTCCTTTGCAGGGAGGACAATAACTGTATACAGTTCAAGTCAGAATTATTAGCTCTCCTGAATATTAGCAACCCTTTTCCTCCCCATTCATTCATTTTCTTGTCGGCTTAAGCCTGATTTATACTTCTGCGTCAAGTGACCGACGTAACCCACGGCGCAGGCAACGCGCGTGGCTGTGCATTTATACTTCTGCGCGCTGTCTCTGTCGGTCTGCATTAACACTTCCGAAACGCTAGTGGGCAGTGAGGTGTTAATGTTCCTCTGTGTCGAGTTTCTTCGCTGTTGGTTTGCTTTTCCTGAACACTTCCGGGATGTACAAGTGGCTCAAACTCGCTCATTTTGAAGCAGGAATCGGCGGACGTGCAACAACTTTAACCATGAGGTAAACACAAAACAAAACTTTCCATCCGGAGCTCCTTCACGGGACTCCACACTTGTAAACAATTGCTCGCGCCATTCGCGCGGCTCTCGGTCCTGCCCAGACTCGTCAGCGCTACCAAGCCGACCAATCACAGAGCTTACGCTACGCGTCGTTGCGACGTGTAGTTACATTTTTTGAGAGGTGCACGTCAGTGACGGCGATGGCCACGGCGAAGGGCTATGCGTCAGCGCCGTAGCATACGCTGGTGTTTGACGCAGAAGTATAAATCAGCCTTTAGTCCCTTTATTAATCCGGGGTCACCACAGCGGAATGAACCGCCAACTTATCCAGCAAGTTTTTACGCAGCGGATGCCCTTCTAGCTGCAACCCATCTTTGGGAAACTCCCCATTTCTGTTTAATGGAAAGAATTTTTTTTCAACACATTTCTAAACATAATAATTTTAATAACTCATTTCTAATAACTGATTTCTTTTATCTTTGCTATAATGACAGCACATAATATTTGACTAGATATTTTTCAAAATGCAAGCATTCAAATTCAAAGTGCGATTCAAAGGCATAATTAGGGTAATAAGGCAAGTCATTGGATAACAGTAGTTTCTTCTGCACACAATAAAAAAATATATATATTGCCTAAAGGGGCTAATAATATCGACCTTAAATTGGGTTTCAAAATATTTAAACCTGCATTTATTCTAGCCGAAATAAAACAAATAAGACTTTTCCAGAAGAAAAAATATAGGAAATACTGTTAAAATTCCTTGCTCTGTTAAACATCATTTGGGAAATATTTATAAAAAAAAGTTCTCAGGAGCGCTAATAATTTTGACTTCAACAGTAATCGTTTTGAATAATCGTGATTACAATTATGAGCAAAATAATCGTGATTATGATTTTTACCAAAATCGAGCAGCCCTAACAAAAGACAGACTAAAAAAAAGAAACATTGGTGGTGTTTTTCTAAGTTAAAGGAATTTAATAGTGTGTTTGGGTTTTAATCAAGACAGAGTTTATTCATTCATTCATTTTCTTTTCAGATTAGTCCCTCTATTAATCTGGGGTTGCCACAGTGGAATGAACCGCCAACTTATCCAGCATATGTTTTACGCAGCGGATGCCCTTCCAGCTGCAACCCATCTCAGGGAACAAGACAGTCTTGTTTTGTTTATTCTTGACAGCTGGAATTCTTGTAAGCTTAACATTCTTGCCATGCATGCCAGCTTTTTACGGTCAAGTAAAGAACTTGTGCTGTGCCACAAAACAAGCCTAGTCATTCTTATTGAGAGATTGGATCATATTGAGACTCTCTAAATTCAGCTATAAAGGTTTCTTTTTAAATATAGTTTCCATTCTTAAACAGCCTTTTAGTTAATATTTCTTAGAAAAGCAACTCTTGTTTCTTACTGAGAAACTTCTGAAGCTGAATTAAATGTATGCATTTTTAAAGCTCTTCATGAAACCATCAATGTCAATTAGGAAACTTTCAAATGGCAATTTTAGGTGTTTAGATATAATTCAATATTTACCTATTGTTGTTTGTGCTCTGGCTGTTAAAGAAAAACAGATGGTTACATTCAGAAACAGCACATTTATATTTCTTTTGTCAAATTATATTGATAATCACATTGATAATAAAACAAAAGTGCTTACATTGAGCCAGGAGTGATAGGAACAACAGCAGATGCGATGAAATCAGAAACATGATGATGCAGTCAGAAATAAATCCAAAATATAAAAGGTCTTATCCTGTAATCAGAAAGATTTTAATAATAGTTATAATAATAATAATTCATTCATTCATTTTCCTTCGGCTTAGTCCCTCATCATCAGTGGTCGTCACAGCGGATTGAACTGTCAACTTATCCAGCATATGTTTTGCACAGCCGATGCCCTTCCAGCTGCAACACAGTACCAGGAAATATCCATACACTCTCACATTCACACACATACACTACGGCCAATTTAGTTTATTCCATTCCCCTATAGCGCATGTGTTTGAACTGTGGGGGAAACCGGAGCACCCAGACGAAACCCACGCCAACACAGGGAGAATGTCAACTCCACACAGAAATGCCAACTGACCCAACTGGGACTCAAACCAGCAATCTTGCTGTGACAGTGATAAACACTGAGCAACTGTGTCGCCAGTAATAATAATAATAATAATAATAATAATAATAATAATAACAATAATAATAACAATAATAATAATAATAATAATAATTATTATTATTATTATTATTATTATTATTATTATTAAAAAATTATAGGAAACCATTCACAACAAACGATTGTCCTGGGAATTTTTTTTTTGTTGAATAAATATTTCCCGAATGATGTTTAACAGAGCAAGGAATTTTTAAACAGCTTTTATTCTAGCCAAAATAAAACCATAAGACTTTCTCCAGAAGATGTTTTAGGAAATGCTGTAAACATTTCCTTACTATGTATTATATAAATAAAAAACACTTAAAAAAAAATAAAAAAATCACAGGAGGACTAATATAGTTCTGCCTTCAACTGTGTATGTGTATGTGTGTGTGTGTATATATATATATATATATATATATATATATATATATATATATATATATATATATATATATATATATATATATATATATATAATAACAATAATAACATATTAGTCATTAAATAGTTGAGGGTCAGCAATACAACAATATTCTAAATGATTAGAAAGATGATAAGGCATCTTTAACTACTTTCACTATTTCTAAATCTAGGCTTCCACATTAGGTAAAAATTATTGTTTCAGAATTTTATCAATAAATAACTGAAATTGATTAAGCAACATGTATTACTGTTTTATTAAAAACAAAATGTTACCTGATTGGCTCAGTTGTTTTTGTATACCATTTATTACAACAATGCTATAATTCAATCCATGACACAAGAAAGGAGAAGGTGGGAGAATATTGCATGTGGAGTGATATATTCGTCTTAACCTTTTTCTCAACTGCTCTTTCACCTGCTGTAGTTTAAGAGGAATTTTCACTGATTTTTATGTCCCAGCACAACATCTACTGGAGCAATAGAGAATATGTCTTGTTGGATCACTGCCAAAATAAACAAATCAAGAACAATGCAATCTCAAATCAACTAAACTGCAGTTTTTACTTCCTAAAAACTTTCTCACGCAAATGAAAAATACTAAAAGCTTCAGTACCTTCAGTGTATCCAAATGAAACCATAATCCAGCACAATGTTATGACCACAGTTCTGTTTGCTGAGTGATTTATACTGACTCATCATCTATCACACACCCCGACAGAGCAGTTTGCAAAGAATAGCAACAGCGACGTTGTATTGTGGTACTGCCTTTTTGTTTTTTTACTGTATGAGATAATTACTCTAATAGCAAAGAATGAACAGAATGAATATCAGAACAAATGGGAAAAAAATAGATCTGTTTTTCTGGAAAGAATACAGATTGCCATTTATTTTCTGAAAAAAAAATTGGATTTACAATTTTTATTTTTTTAGTGCAAACAATTTATGTGGGCAGAATTTAAACAAATAAAGTAAATGTAGTAATGTTCAACTAAATTTGTTTGTTTAAATTCAGGTCATCTACATTTTTTGAAACCCTTTAACTTAAAAAGAATTTGTAAACCCATTAAACCATTTCATTTCAATATAAACCATGTCCCACACTAACATGCTTTTGCTTAAAATTGCACATTTTTCTCACTGTTTCAGCCTTCCATCCACAATGAGACGGCGTTTTTAGGAAATAAAAAGGTATCTTTTTGAAAACAGTTAAAAGTGGATCAAGTGGAGTTCTCATGTTGATTGTGGAATGTGAAAATGGAGGCTTTTGAAAATAATGATGCATACAATAATCATAAGTCAACCTTTTTCCACTGTAAAGAATCTTTGGTGCAATGTAAATGTTGCGTAAAGGTTATAGAGTTCATTATGAAAACATCAATGCCAATAAAGATCCTTCAATTTTTAGGCTGTATGAAACACACTGCATTCTCTTAGTGTGTACAAAACTGTCAATACATTTAACATTGTCAGCAAATATTTCTTTAAGTGCCTGGTATTATAGTAAGTATTTTCTTTTGTGTTCAGTGTAACGGGTTTAAGTTTCTTTTTTTTATTGAATATAAAGAAGATATTCTGAAGAAGGCTCAAAAGCAGCAGCTATTGACTTTTATAGTATATTTTGTTCCTTTATCATGTCATTGGGGGCTGGTTTACAACATTCTTCAGAATATCTTGTCTTGTTCAACAGAAGAAAGAAATTCATTAAGGTTTAGAACCACTTGAGTATGAGTAAATGCTGAGGAAGTTTAAGTCACTAAACACTCTGCTTTCTAAAGCAAATTAATATTGTTTAACATATTTTAGTACACTGATTTCTAACTATCTCTTACTAAGCGTTTGTGAATTACTTTGAATAAAAATGTACAGTTGAAATTATTAGCCTCCCTGTTTATTTCTGTTTAATATAGAGAAGACTTTTTCAACACATTTTTAAACAGATTAGTTTTAGTAACTCATTTCTAATAACTGATTTATTTTATCTTTGCCATGATGAAAGTAAATAATATTTGACTAGATATTTTCCAAGACACTTCTATACAGCTTAAAGTCACATTTAAAGGCTTAACTAGGTAAATTAGGTTAACTAGGCAGGAAAGAGTAATTAGGCAAATCATTGTAATGTTTATCAAATTTCCACCACTTTTTGTTTTACTGTATTCTGGATTATCATCAGAGAATGTTATCGCAAAATGTCAATAACCTGTAATCAGTAACCTGTAATTTCCACCCTCGTGCTACACAGGAGGAAATAACAGCCAATCTCGATCTCGCAACATGCATGTTAAAAAACCTACTAATTATTATCAATATTATCCAAGTATTTGTCCTGATTATGATTTAAATAATGGTTGTAGCAAATCTGAACAGGTTCAATTAATTTACACAAGACATATATATTTAATAAGGTCATACACTGTAAATAAAAAAAAAATATCTTGCTGATCTATATTCTAGTCATCTCAGCTTACATCAATCAAACTGACACAAATATCTAGTCAAACTTTGTTTTACTTAAAAAAAGGGTAAAACCTGATTAACTTATTAAAAGAAGTGAAAGCAACATAAAAATTGTTGTCTTGACTTTTTGTCATTCAGTGTTTTGCAGCGTACTGTTGCATGATAAACAGACTTAGCAAAAATACATTATGAAACATCATAGTGCCTGGTTTCCGCTAAATTCATTCTTCCATGGTGGGGCGCCATGCCAAAATTCATCCCACCACGGCTACATTACAGCTTCTCATTCAAAACATTTTAATTTTTTAATAGCGGGTATTAATTGCACCAAAACGTATTAAAGGGTAAGTGAATTATAACAGAGTGAACTTTTCTGTAACCGTAATAGTGCTGTGCGTCATTTGGTTAACCCTTTAAGGTTACGTGCTGACTGACTGACAGGTGCGTGATGCTTGTGGCTGCAAACACGACGTATAGCTGTTTCACTTTAATTCAGGACGCATTAATATCACTCTGTAGGTCTATTGGAGACGTTCATAAATATTCCTAGCAAATATAATAAATGCTGGAGACATACTCGTTACATAAACGCACTAAATCACACTTCAGCAGCGTTTATTTAAGAGCGCACAAGAAGATCTGCGATTGAGCTGCTTATTTTTGAGGTGGCGTGCAAGAAGTTTTGTGCATGAGCAGAGGAAATTGGTGCGCTAGCAACGAGATCTGCATGCTGCAACTTTCGTTGATGGGAAAATAGTAAACAACTGTTATGAAAACTATAATAGAGCCTGCATCAGTGTATTGTGCTTGTAATATTAACCCATGCAAGTAAACTAATGTGTGTGTGTGTGTGTGTGTGTGTGTGTGTGTGTATATCTGCAGTAGGCCTAACCGTTTTCAAGGTATACTGCAGGTTTGGAAGTCAAGGTTTTAAAATTTTTATTTATTTATTTATTTATTTATTTTTTTTAGATTTTCTGCAATACCGTTCCCAGGGTATGTGATTTTTTTTTTTTTTAATTATTGTTTGTTTGTTTATTTTGAGGACAACAGTATCTCCAGGAGAAAATATGTCATTTTAAATTGTAAAACAATCTGTTTTTGAAACAAATAAAGACAGCAGAAGTCAATAATTCATTTAGCCTGACTTACTGTTCCAAAAGAAATGTTTTTCAAACTAAATATACTGTTCAAAAGGGAAAAACGTTTTTGTTTTTTACCCAGACATTTAAAAGGAACATATTTTAGAGCAGTAATACTGGTACAATACTGTGGAAAGGTGAAATCATGATATTTTTATCCAAGGTTATCATACTGTCAGAATCTTTTACCGGCCCATGCCTAATCTGCAGACATTTGTTTTTTCTGCACAGATGGTCACCGATGGGCAGAGCTTTCCCCCTCTGATGACACGTACAAATGGAGAATGTCAATCAAAGTGTTTACGCAGACTGTTTTTATCAAGTGTATTAGACACTGTTGCAACACAACTGTCTAAACCCCTTATAAAAGTGATATTTGCATAATAGGTCTCCTTTAAAATACATCACGAATGTATACTTTTCTTAATGTTTTTCATGTCTTCTGTTTTATACAAGATTTTTGATATCATTTTCTATGAGTGTGTCTGAGTGAGAGCTGTCCAAGCATTCACAAACACAATCGGTAAAAAAAAAAAAAAAAATCGGTATAGTCCCTAAAGGCTTGAAATACACCGTAGTACATTAATAACATGGACTCTTTTCATGGTACTTTGTTTTACTTAGAAACAGCAGCAGCAAGATATATAGATTGTAAAAAATGATGTGTCCTTATTTTGTG